AAAAAAAAAAAAAAAAAAAAAAGGAAAACATTATGAGCTCAACTGTGCTTCCCCAAAACTCATACATTGGAGCTCTAACCCCCAGTACCTTAGAATGCGACTGTATTTGAAGATAAGGCCTTTAAAATGGGAATTAAGGTAAAACAGAGTCATGAAAGTGGGCCCTGATCCAGTATGACGGGTGTCCTTATAAGAAGAGGAGATTAGGACACAAACAGAGACGCTGCACTTGCGCAAGCTCAGATGAAGGACCATGTGAACACACGGCAAGAAAGCAGCCACCGTCACCTGCGAGCCAAGGAGAGGATTCAGAGAAACCAAGCCTGACAATCCCTTGGTCTTGAACGTCCTGCCTCCAGAACTGAGAAATCTATTTCTCTTCTTAAAGATCCCGGTCTATGGTATTTTGTAATGGCAGCCCTAGCAAACTGATGCAGAAAACCTCTTAGTATCTGCATGATCAGTTTGGGATGTGCTGAAATAGTATTATTAATAATTTCGATACTATATTACTTATTTTTATTTTTTTGAGATAGTGTCTTGCTTTGTTGCCCAGGCTGGAGTACAGTGGCATGAACTCGGCTCACTGTGACCTCCACCTCCCAGGTTCAAGCGATTCTCCTGCCTCAACTTCCCGAGGAGCTAGGATTTACAGGTGCCCACCACCACACCTGGCTAATTTTTGTATCTTTTTTTTTTAGTAGAGACAGGGTTTCACCACATTGGCCAGGCTGGTCTTGAACTCCTGACCTCAAGTGATTCACCCGCCTCGGCCTCCCAAAGTGCTGGGATTACAGGCGTGAGCCGTCACGCCCAGCCCAGTGCTATTTTATTAAAGTTTTATTCTATGTGTCTATTTTTATTTTTTGGTTGTCTAGTGTCACTGATTTCTAAGCACTAACTTTCCCCACCTTTGGTTGAGTTCTTTGCATCTGATGCACATAAATCCTTAAATAGTACCTACTCTATAAATAGACAAACGCTTCCTGTGCATTCTCAGCCTGCACTCATCATCCCTCCCCAGCCAGCTACTGTGGTGGCTTTGTACCATGTCAGCGTGCCTAAGCTGGAACTATGTTTCTCAAAAATCTGACCAAAATGTGGAAGGGAGAGTAAAACAGCAATCATGTTTACAGTCAAAAAGTCTGTGTAGGGCCCAGCACAGACAGCGCTGTGGTGGCTCACACACGACGCCCTGCACCCACTGGCTCCATTTATTGTTACACGGCAGCGGCTGTGCCTGCGTTTCCTCAGCTCCCACCAGAACTGCTTCTTCAGCTTCTCTGAATCCCGGGTTTATGAGCAATTCCATGGTGAAGGGCACCAGCTCTTCTGTAGATCACCGTCATTGT